AGGTGTTATAAAGTATTTCCTCTTCTTCAATTTTTTGGAAGAGTTTGAGAAGGATTGGTTTAAAATTTTCTTTGAATGTTTGGTAGAATTCACTAGTGAAGCCATCTGGTCCTGAACATTTATTTGGGGGGATATTTTTGATGGTTGCTTTAATCTCCACACTGTTGATCAGTGTATTTAGATGTTCCAATTTTTCATTATTCAGTCTTAAGAAATTTACATATTTCTAGGAACTTATCAATTTCTTTATGAATTGCTTGTCATGCAATCTTTCATAGTATTCTAGTATGATTCTTTGTATTTCTCTGATATCTGTAGTTATTTCTCCTCATTTGTTTCTGCTTTTGTTTGATTCTTTTCTCTTTTTTTTCTAACTGAGTCTAGCTGGGGAGTTGTCAATTTTATTAATCTTTTCAAGGAACCAACTCTTTGTTTTGTTAATTTTGGTATAGCCTTTCTGTTCTGTATCTTGTTCAATTCTGCTGTAATTTTTATTATTACTTTCTTCTAATGATTTTTTTCTTTTTCTAGTTGTTTAAGATGTAATGTTAGGTTGCTCACTTGAGATTTTTCTTGTTTCTTGGGATAGGCCTGTAGTAATATAAACTTCCCTCTTACTGCTTTTGCTGTATCCTAGGAGTTTTGATACACAATATTTTAATTTTCATTTGTTTCTGTATATCTTTTGATCTCATCTTTTATTTCTTCTTTGACCCAGTCATTTTTAGTATTATGTTGTTTAATAGCCACATATTGTAGGGGTTTTTACTTCTTTTCTGTAGTTGATTTCTAATTTCAAAGCATTGCAGTCAGAGAATAAGCTTGGTTTGATCTTAACCTTCTTAAATTTGCTAAGTCCAGTTTTGTGACCCAACATATAGTCTATCCTTGACTGTTCCATGTGCACTGGAGAAGAATATACAACCTAATGGTCTGGATGAAAGGCTCTGTAGATGACAATTATGACCATTTGATCTAATGTATCATTTAAGGCTGATATTTCTTTATTAATTTTCTATTTAGGTGATCTATCTAGAACTTTCAATGGAGTATTCAGGCCCCTACTCTGATTTTGTTTTTTATTAGTTTTTCCTTTTTGTTTTGGTAGGAGTTGCTTTAGGTATTTTGGTGCCCCTAGATATAGATATAGATATAGATATAGATATAGATATAGATATAGATATAGATATAGATATAGATATAGATATAGATAGATATATAGAGAGAAATTTTATGTCTTCTTGATGTAGTGTCCCCTTTATCATCTTCATTTCTTATTATCTTTGTAATCAAAATCTATTTTGTCAGACATAAGTATGGCTACACCTGACTTTCTGTGGGTGCTATTTGTCTGAAGAATTATTTTCCATTATTTTACTTTGAGTCTTTATATTTTCAGCTTAGATGTATCTCCAGCATGCAGCATTTGGTTGAGTTTTGTTTTTGATCCAATTTGCTACTCTATGCCTTTTTATTGGTTAATTCAGTCCATTTATATTTAGGGTAATGATTGATATATGAGGATTTTTTTATAGCCATTTTATCTTCTGTTTTCTGGCAGCTCAGTGCCTCCCTTCCATGGGTTCTTTCCTTTGTGTTTCTGTCTTGTTTTTGTTTGGGGGTATTCCATACTTTCCCCTCTGTTTCCTCTTTTTTAAAGTTATGTGTCTCTGTTTGGGGTTTTTTGGTGTGTGATTACCATTAAGTTTATGAAAAAACTTATGTACTTCTGAATGTGTCTGATTTCCATCCTCCTTTGCAAATTCAGATCTTTATCCCTTTCTATTTCTTTGTTGTTGCAAATTATTCCTGTTTATGCAGTAAGTTTGTTGGTGATCTAACTCATAGTTTTGTGACCTTTTGCTCTTCATTTCATGTAAAATAACCCCCTTGAGTAGTTCTTGCAGTGGATATCTTCTACTGATAAATTCCCTCAGCTTTTGTATTCCTGGAAAACTCTTTATTTCTCCTTTATATCTAAAGTCTAAGTTTGCTGCATATATTATTCTTGACTGGTAATTTCTCTCTTTTAGTAGTTTGAATATTTGGTTCCACTCTTTTCTAGCTTGTAGAGTTTCTGCTAAGAAGTCTGATGATAACCTAAAGGGCTTTCCTTTATAGAATATTTCTTTCTTTTCCATGGATGCCTTGAGAAATTCTTTCTTTTTAATTAATTTTTGACAGTTTTAATACAATATTCCTTGGAGAAGTATTTTTTCAAATTTAGGTAATTAGGTGTTTTATTTCCTTTTTAGATTTGAGGATTTAGCTCTTTCCATAGATTTAGGAAGTTCTTGTCAACTGTTTGAATAGGCTCTCCATTCCTCTTTCCCTCTCTTCTTCTTTTTAAAATTTTTTAACATTTAAAAAAGATTTTATTTATTTATTTTTAGAGAGAGGGGAAGGGAGGGGAAAAGAGAAGGAGAGAAACATCAATCAGTTGCCTCTCGTACACCCCCAACTGGGGAGCTGGTCCACAACCCAGGTGTGTGACCTGATGGGGAATTGAACTGGCAGTTTTTTGGTTCACAGGCTGGCACTCAATCCACTGAGCCGCATTAGCCAGGGCTCCTATCTTCTGGTTTAGCTTCTATTCTTTGCTGTTTCTGATGGAGAGCCATAGGTCTCACAGAGTTAATTTATTATTTTTTTATGCTCAAGTTCCTCTCTTCTTCCCTCTGTGCCATTTCTAGATTTCTATCTTTGATATAACTAATTCTTTCTTCCATCTGTTCAGCTCTATTTCCTATGCTTAGTAGTGCATTCTTGATCTCTTTTATTGAGTTCTTCATCTCCAAAATTTCTATTTGGTTCTTTTTTAAAGTTTCAATCTCATTGGCAAAGTATTCATTTTGTTTTTGAGTTCACTAAGCTGCCTATTTGTGTGTTTTTTTGTATGTCATTGAGTTTTTTCATAACTACAATTTTGAATTCTCTGTCATTTAAATCACGTATTTCCATGTATTTAAGTAGATTTTATGCAGATTTTTTTATTTGCTTTGTGAGCTGCCTCATTACCTTGGTTATTCATGGTATTTGATGGATTCCTTCTCTGTCTAGGCATCTGTCTACAAGTGCTAGTCCTATAGTAGATTGATTAGAAATCTTCCTGTTGTTTTCTAGTAGGTGGCACTAAGGCACAACTTTGTTGAGCTTTCTTGCACTTCTCTGGCTTCTCAGGTCTCTATGGGCTGGTACAAAATGGCCTGTGATCCCTGGAAAGGGAGCCAGTTGCTTACCTTGTGAGCCAGTTGTCCTGGTTCCAGGGGACCAACCCCATAGGGAAATGCAGTGGACAATGGAACTTCAAATCCATGAAATCCCAGAGCAATCTCCTCAGTGAGATGCTGCCAACAGAGCAACTGCAATGTGTGAGGGTGGGGTGAGCTGGGGCAACCTGCTTGCTTTCTTTGTTGCTTTGTCTTCCTAGCAATATTGACCTTAGACCTCTTTGGAATCCTCCCTGCACTCCATCCAACCTGTGATTGGACCCAGAGTGCATCTTTTGTTCATGGAAAAAGTGTTTCTGTAGTACTAGTTCTCGGGTTTGCAGATAATGTAGTTGGCAACCCAACATGAAGGGTATGGAGAGGTGAGCTCTGGGAGGTTGTGGGAAGGTGGTCAGGCTCTGTGGCTTTGTTTTGCTCTCTGCAATGCCAATTGTCAGACAACTTTCATTTCATCTTTGTGTTTGTCCCTGCCTTCATCACTGGACTCAGCTATAGCTACTACTGCCCACTCCTGCAGGAATGCTCACTGAATCTCTTTGCTCCTCCTGGCTAATGGCAGTGTCAGCCACAATGTGATTTCTCCTCTCTTCAGGCTGAGCCTTACTGTGAGCTCCAGGCTGCAGGGCTCCATCCATGGTTCATCCCAGCTTTTCACTCTTCTCGCCTCCCCAGTGTGTTCCCACTTTTTCACCTTTAGATGTTTCTGAGTGTGGCTCTCTTAGACATATTTGTGCACTGAGCAGAAAATCCTTTGTTGAATTATAGTTCAGTTGTTGAAACTTTGAGGGGAGATATCAAGGGGATCTCTCACACAATCATTCCTCTGACATTGCTCTCCATTTTCTGATATTGTTTTTTGTAATCCTGTCTGTTTTCCCATGGGTTAATCTATTATTATCAATTTTGTAGTAAAGTCATTCCTGAAATAGAAAAATAAAGTGGTTTCCCAAGGAGGGTGTGTCTTAGTCCTTCAGAAAGTAACTCTGTCATGTATTGTCATCTAAATGATAGAAAATCATCTCTTAGTACCGTAGAAGCCAAGTGCCAGATTTTGCTATACCCCCTTCCTACTTCTTCCACCTTGTAATGTGACTTTGCCCACAAAAGAGGATGTGAAACACTTCACATGCTCTGCTATATCCTGGCTCTGTGTCAATCAGAAATTGTTCTCATCTTGAGCTATAGTCTGCCCCTTCCTTTTTTTCGCAAATTTTTTTTCTCTTCAGTTTTGGAAATTTTACTGTAATAGTTCCCTGGGAGTGCTTCTATGCTTTTATAATTGTAGACAGGTTCAAACAGTGTTTGTACTTAGTTAAAATTGCTTTTATATAAACAAAGATAAAACAATTGAGAAAAGCATTTTAAAATTAGATAGTTTAGAGTGAATGTTTAACAATGAAAAATTTTAGCCTAGTAAATATGATGAAATGGATGGGTAAAAACAAAAAGTACCTGACAGATAGAACTTACTTGATTGGGGTTAAGGTGGCAACCTGAAGTGCAGAAGATTAAGAAGACTACTTTATTGTCTATGGATAGGCTTCTGCATGAAAATACTAACTCCACTCAAGACCACCCTGGTGGGGAGAGTGGGGCCTTTGGGGAAGACTTTCCCAGAATACATCTCACTGAAAATTAAATAAGAAAAGGATTGAATTATTTCTTCTCAACTAAGAATTTGCAGCAATGGAATTTCTTTCTTTAAGGTGGTATATGATCTAAGTTTCTCAGTTGCACTTTTTAAAGGCCCTAAATCATCTTCTCTTTCAGATTTCAACTGTGAGAAAATGTCATTTCGATTCGGCCAACATCTCATCAAGCCCTCTGTGGTATTTCTCAAGACAGAACTGTCCTTTGCCCTTGTGAACAGGAAACCTGTGGTACCAGGACGTATCCTTTATTTATTTTTTTTAAGAAAGGGGAAAAAAGCATTTGAACCTAACATACCAAGTGAAAACAGGATTGGCCTCCAATGTCTGTCCAAAAGGTAAACAAGGAATCCACTTCTCTCCCTCTTGGATAAACCAGGTAAGATATTATTACATTTATTCTGAATTCAGTTGGTGGTACCAGTAATATGTTTGATTAGTTTTGAAGAACTTTTAGAAGGAGTTGCTTAGCAACTGAGGCTTTGGAGGTGAATTTTTGCTTGACCTTTTTATTATGATAGCTGCATAAATAAACAGGTGCTTGTAAAATGGTTCCAATAAGTATCATGGACACTTTGTTTTCCATTATCAATTGTGATTTTTAATGATAAGATAGAGATTGGGTGGCACTTTTGTGATGTGAAACTAAGGTGTTATGTGAAGATTTGAGACCTGCTTGGTTTCTTTACCTCTTGGAGATCGTTCAAGCTAGGAGTTTTAATTAGATTCATGTAAATAAGTATACTTAAAATATTTTTTCATGTTAGGGTCTAAAATAGCATATTCTCTTGGAAAACATCCCACCTTCCAGATTATTGTCAAGTGTCATTGGTGGTGGGTTGTTTTATTTCTCTCTGACTGTCGAGTTATAGTCTTTTCTCCTATGGACTTCAGTAAAAGCTTTATTCTTTGCAGTGGAGTAGTGGGAATTGGTGAAGTACCCTGGAGAGTAATTTTTATGTTATTGAATGTATCACTTGTGATTGTATACATATGATTTTGTACTGATTCTTTAGAATGTTTTTCTCTTTCCTCTAACTGAATTTACTATGCAGAATGCAACAAAGCATAAAATTTTATATTTTAAAATAATAAGCATTTTCAACACTGATACATGATTTTAAAAATAAAGTTCTAGTCATTCTAAATCTACAAATCCATCAAGATGTTTTTCAAAGTTAGTTATTTTTTTCCAGTGGGAATTTTCAAAATGAGAGTTTTATAAATAATCTTTCTTGAAAAATTGTACAAATAAGAAAATATCAACAAAAGATCATTGTGATTTTATGATAGACTTTCAAACTTCTTGAATCCAAATTTTAACTAAATTAATTTTGTAAGTATAAAACTAATGGCCATAGCAATAAACTTGTAAATGATATTATATAATATTTTTCTTGATAATATTTAACTCTTCTTCTAAATTCATAAAATAGCTTTAAATAATACTCAATATTAGAACATTTCATTCTTTTGTTTATTGAAGTGAAAAATAACTAGAATAATTCAGAAGAGCCCTATAAAACAGAACAGTTTTCAACTTGCATACCAATTTTTTTATTGAGATTTTCTCAAAGACCTAAAGTTCTTAAAATAACAGAAGTAATTTATTTTTTCATTTGATTGTGCTGCGATTTTGTGGTTTTCTTTTTCCTTTGAGGAACTTTTTTATGCAAGCTGTCTGAGAATTCCACCATCAAAAGAATAATGGTTTAAATTTTATCTCTCTTTGGGTTTCAGTTTTAATTGACTTCTGTCAAAGAATTGAGGAGACCTAGGATGAAAATGTGAATTTAGGGGAACAAATGTTATGCCTTAGACTGAGAAAATGTAAGATTGTAGAGCTGCACTGCTTTTTTAATGGTTAATAATGGAATGAATTTTGTTCTATGATTTCTTTACTTATAGTAAGAACCTTGATTTTTATGGTCTTTTCAGCCAACTCTGAATGCATGTGTAAGACCCGAGTCGCATATGTTTTTGAACTCAAGAAAATTTGACATGGCTGAATCTAGGGAAATGTCTACACTGAACAGTAAGCAAGTAGTGAATGATCATTACATTTGTTCTAGATGGCACTGGAATTGGCATTTGGGAAATGGGTCCTGGTCAGTTACTGTGTCTTTGAGTAAATACCAAGGAGATAGGGGGCATTGTATTAAAATTAACAAGCTTATTTGTTTGCAAGGTAGCAAGAGGAACCTGTCCCTTTCTGAGGATGAGAACACAATTGTTTTTGTAATCAGTACTCTCTGTAAGCTACTGTACAGCTACAGTGTGTAAAGTGGTCTTGGGCCAGTAGATGCTGAATTCAGACAACCCTTTTTATATGACAAATTTGTAGCTTTTTATTTTACTTTACTTTTGTAAACCCTTAAGTGACAACTGAGAAGAATCTTAATAAGTTACTCACCTGCAGAAAGCAACACTCTTTTGTCCTGTGATTTGGAAATTGAAACTGTGGGCAGCTCTGCCCCTTAACAGTTCATAAAATAATTGGTGAGATGTCTGCAGTGGGCTTTAAACTTTCCCCACATTCTGCTCCATCTGTTCTCATTTAGCCCCTTTGTACGCCCTCCCTGTATCTGGACTTCTCCAATCCAGCATATATCTTGTTCTAAAGCACAGGTCTGATCATATCACTCTCCCATTCCCTTGCTTACAAACAACTAATGAAACAAATGAGTCTCCTCCACCCCCCACTTTTTTTTTTTAGGATAAAGTTCAAACTCCTTAACATAGTTAAATTTTTTTAATCTCATTAAAATTTTTTAATTACAGTTTACATTAGATATTGTTTTGTATTAGTTTCAGATGTACAGCATAGTGGTAGACAGTTATACGCTTTACACTGTGATCCCCGATATTTCCGGTACCCACCTGTCATCATCCATTGTCTTGACTCAACTTTCCCCTAACCAGGCCTCATGTTTCCATTATCACGTCTCTCCATACAACCCTCTCCACCTTGCAATTCTTCCCATCATTTTCAATTCAGCTAAAGTTCTTTGACATCTGTCCCATCTTTTTAGGAAAAAAATATACTCTCTCCTTTTTGTGACAGTTGGTTCATTAATCACATGTTTATTCATTCTACAGTTTATTACTGAGCTCCTACGCTGTTCCAGGCACCAGTCCAGACCTTTATCCCATCCTGCTTTATGGCATAACTATGTGCATTCCTGTTTGTCTCTGCACTGAGTCACTGGTTCCTGGTAAGGCGTGGGAACAGGACCTGCTCTTGCACAATTTTTGGTCCTAGCATCTGAAATACTTTGCTGACTGAGTTTAAAGTGAAAGTGCAAATGGCAGGAGTACCTGGATCATTTTCTATAATGGAATGGGGTAATAAGGGGCAGCCGAAGGGCTGCCTTTTCAGTGTTCCCATGTACAAAGCCAAGTCTTGTCACCATTTTATTCCAGATTTTTTTGTATCATGTTCAAGCTGTATTTTCCCTTCATGCCTTGTCAGTTACAATCTTGCTAACATTTTTGTTCTGTAAGTATACCGACTTAAATCTAAAAGCAGTGACTAGAATTGATGCTGATGAGAAAAGATTATCGTCCCTCCTTTTCTTATTATTTTGTATGTTAATTTGTCAATGGACACATGTGTATTTTAAGGCAGTTTTTTGTGAATTGGAAATTTTTCTTTTGTATTTTTGATTTCTTTTTAAAAAGGGTATTCAGGTGGCCTTTAGGGAATGTGCCATTCATCAGAGATTCGTAAATGTTATCTTTGAACTTGTGTCCTCTCTAACATTTTGAGGGCTCTTTCACTCTCCACCCTTTTTTCTTTTGACTTTTCTTACAGACTCTTTTATACCTTTCAGAGGAGGGAAAGAAATGTCAGATCAGGGGCTGAAGATATAATTTTGAAGCAAGACTATTTGCTTCATTTTCAAAAGAGCCATACCTGAAGCAAACACTTATATTCCATACAGTGTCTAAAGCCAACTAAATAGGCTTTGGCCTCTGTAGTGCAACACCCTAGAAGAATATGTCAGAATGTCTTTAATCCATTAATTTCTTCTTACTGGAAAATGCTTTTCGGAGTGTCTTGGTGAGAAAACACAAGCGTTTAGGAGATTGCATCTTTAGAATTCTGCAGTGAACATATTATTTGTGTACCTCATTGTAGCCCAGCTATTGTTCATGCCTTAAATATATTTGAACCACAATGGTTAATACTTCTCCTCAACCCCTCTCTTTACATTGAACTATGTTTCCCTCTCATCTTGAGTTGAGCATGAAAAATGAATTTGAACATTAGCAGAATCCAATTGGGAACTGGGGCTTTTATTGTAAATAAAATTATTCATTTGTTATGTCCTGTAGTTTTCAGCAGACAGTGTATTGATCTTTGGGCTGCTATTCAGAATGGCATGCGGAGCTCCAACATAATGTGGCAACATTTGTGGATGGGAAGAGTGTGGCATGCAATGTCAGAGACAAGCCTTGCTTGCTGGCTGTACTATATTATACAAATCATTTGTCAATATATTATTGAATCAGTTATTTAAAAGGGCAGATTTTTTTCTAAACATGAGCATTGCACACAGAATGCTATCAGGGCCAAACAATGTTAGGATGATGCATTGAGGACAGCCTTCCACAGCGTGTTTGTGAAGAATTAGACTAGGTAACTTAAAGGACACTCCTGCTGATGTATTAGAAACAAAAGTTTTCTACAATGGAAACTGCTCTTAGGTCCAATATCAAGAGATAAAGAAAGAAAAATCTGGTAAATACCTTTTAAAACAAAATTTTACCTATGTAAATGAGCAATATTTAATTTTCTCTTTTATTCAGACCATTGCCATGTTGAGTACTCCTGAAATAAACAAATAAAAAATAAAAATATCTTCATTACTTAACAGTGCTTTCTATGGAAGCACTATAAACTATAAGATGCTATAGATAAAAGTTCCCTTTTAATCCTTCTGTAAAAATCAGAAATACTTGTCATTTCCTAAGTAGGTTGTAATCTTGTGAATTTCTTTAATTGTTCAGGAAACTGCAGTTATTAGTAATCTGGTGAGCTTTCATTTTTCAAAAGAGTTTCTTTTTAAGCCTTCCTGTGTAAATAAAATGAGCACAAGCACTATTTTAATATCTTTATTACTAAAGATAGATGTTTTTGCTGTTAAATTTCTCTAAGCCTGATTTTTCCCTGTGTATGCCTCTTGTATATTGGCTAGCTTAGTATGCTCTTGGAGAGATTTTCAAAGAGGATCTGGC